TATATATATATTTTTTTTTTTATATATATATAACTATCATTTAATTGAAGCATAACAGAAATGTGCTAGAATTTATTGTGAGTGGGGCAGAAAGTAATCCTCTTAGACATTGTCAGATTGTTCTACAAGTGTAAAATTAACATGTGGAGTGGTGTGATATGAGGCTGTAATATCACTCCAGTCCCTAACCCCAACCTTAGAACCATTCAAATACAGTGTTGGTAGCATAATCTGACAAGTAGTTAATGCCAGGACGCTTGCCTGTGCCCTACCAGTATAATAAGAACTAAACAACCCAGGGGTTTAAAAAACAACTCTCTATCTTGCTTTGGTTATCTTGACAGACCAACTGATTAGATTAATATTTTTAGACATGACACATATTAATAAAAAGTTGCTATTCTGTTCAGACAGACTTGACATTCATTCGTTTTTCACTAAGCAATCTGATCATGACGTGTACTCGAGCGCTCTTAGTATTACGGTAAACAGAGCTGCGCTCATATTCTGAATGAGGGATATTACGGCAAAGTTATAGATCCGTCGGAGACTTGGTTGTTTGCAAACCCAAAGAGCACTGCAATGTAAATTTATCAAGAGAATAATCGGACGACATACCGAACATTGCGCAGCGGAGACACAGAAAACCTCAGAAGCTTCTTTCAACTATACTGGTGAGGAAATAGTATTTTTTTTATTCTTATTAAGTAATATCTTTGTGCGGTCGCTACACCTATCCATCTCACATAGTTATACACAGGAGTACTGGTTACTCTCCTTTGAATTATACCCAGGCAAACGTGGTAGCGAAAGGGACGCGGACATGATGCAGGGATGATAAAAGTGCCTTCTCGTGCGTTATTAAGTTTATTTTAATGCCCACGAGGGAAACCCGCGTTCATTGTTGATCAACATGTGTTGTATGAAGTACATGGAGTATTCAAACAGCTTGGAGAGAACTGAAGGTATGCGCGCTCGAGCACGCGACAACTTACTACTCACCAAACGGATATTGGATTGACAGTTTTAACATTTGTTTTAAAAGTACATTCTTAAAAGCGCAGGGTTGGATTGGTAAGACTTGTAATATTTTACTTACCGAGTTGCTTGAATCACTTTTCTGCTTTCGCGCGGATTTTTATCTTCAGGTTGGTTATTCTGTGAAACAGGTGCTTTTCCATACAAAAAATAGACTTAAATTCTAAATGTGAACAATTCCACGAATTGCTGCCACCCTGAAAGAACCCGTTTTTAAAAATTATAGCGATTACAGGCTTGGCATGGAAGTGAAAGTCGTTTTACTTTGATACAGTTAATGCTAAGAGCTTTAATTTAATAAAGCGACGGTTGTAACTATTGTTTTATTTTATTCGTTCATTCGTTCATTTTCTTTTCGGCTTAGTCCCTTTATTAATCTGGGGTCGCCACAGCGGAATGAACTGCCGACTTATCATATGTTTTGCGCAGCGGATGCCCTTCCAGCTGCAACTCATCTCTGAGAAACTTTTTTAATTTTACTTTTAATATATTATACATTACATGGTATATGTGGTGCATTTTTGACACATTTTCAACTTCTAAATTGGAAATTATGTACATTTTAATCAAATTTATTTTTAATCATAATATTATTTCATTTATTGATGTATTAATTGTATCTGTGTATGAAGAATTGTTTTATAATAACATACAAATAATTAAGATTTCTATGTTTTAAATCGTCTTTATAATTGTGTCCAAGAGCAACACAGTGTGCATGTTTGTTGAGTCAAATCTGTTGATGATTACTGGGAGAAAGCAGAGAGATTAATAATGATATTATGTCTACACTTGATTAGTTGTTGGATCACTGCAGCATTTAGGTCCGTTGCACTACACTGTTTACTCTCGGAAATGTTTTTATAATGTGCTGCCAGATTTTGAGCACTGAGAGCTGATTTCTACATTGCAATCATAAAATCATGACTTTAAATACTTTTTTATGCAAGATTTAAAGAATTTATGCAAGAAAAAAAAACTAAAAAAACAAACACATACAGTAATTGTCAGCTTAGACACTGAACCTTTTCTTCCAATATTTGAGCTTTGTTGTTTTTTCACGTATTTGCTCTCAGTAGTCTTGCTGTAATTATCTTCTTGGCTTTGTGAATGTGTTCTTGGAAGTCTCCTCTTGCTGTCTAGCATGCTTTGTTTAAGGTTAGAGAGTAATTGTTGCTTACAGTTTATGTAAAACAACATGGGCAAGGACAGGTGCAAGGAAATGTTTTCTTAATGTCCGACTGTTTTATGTCTTCATTTCCTGTCAATTTCACACCTTTGAAACAGTGCCCTCAGTTTTTTTGTCTGTGTGTTTGGTTTGCCACATAATATCTCACCTCAAATAACCAACACTGAGGTGATACTTCAAGCAGCTGATGCAGATGAGTATTTTAAATTTGCTTTGCCAGTTTTATGATACAAACTGATCCAAAGTCCATACTAGTTATTGAGCTTCATTTTTTATTAAAGCAAGAAACTGAAGGTGAATAGGGTAAAAGCTAATAGTCATTGTCACATTTCTGCAGTTGTTGCATAATTAATAAATTTTTTTTGTATTACAAGTTTTCTAAATTGTATGTTTTAATATGCAAATAAAAAATATTATGAAATATTAGCTAATTTGCATAGTCATCTAGCTAAAAAAACACACACAAGCTGCCCCTGTGGGCGCTACCTTTTTAAAAGCTACTTGCTTTTAAAAAATGGGTCCATATTGTTGTTTTTAAAGGTACATATTATTTCAAAAGGTAGACTATTGTACCGTTTAAGTGCTACTATGATTTTTTTTAAAGGTAATATCAATAAGGACTCTTTGAGGCAGGCTTACACAATGCAATTTTTGTGCAAGCAGCTCACAAGTTCCTCCTATGGGCATTTATAAATTTGCCAAAAAATGTTTGGAAGTTGTTAGGTTGTGGATGAACAAGCTGATCTGTTTAAAATTGACCAATTAGAGGGATGAACTTACTGAAAAACGAGCGCTGTATGATGTTTTATGCATGACAGGGCCATCAAAGATTGTGTCGTACATCACTTTATACAACAGTTCTGTCTGGTTCTCAATCTGATTGGCTGATAGCCGTGCAATACTCTGCAATATCAGAAGTCGTACAGCCTTCTCACCCTTCTGTATTATCCGCCCACATAGAGTGACAGCGGATCAGTAAACTCACTACAGTTTGACAAATAATGCAGCTGTTGGACAACATAATGCACTTTTGAGGCTTTTTTAGGCAAGAATGTAGTTGTTTAGATTGCAACTATGCTCTTTATTTATAAGGATAGTGTCTATTTTAAAATATTTTACATTTTTTAGATACAGCGCTTCGGCATCTAGCAGCCTGTTATGCTGAGTAGAGCATAGGCGGTTAATGATGTCCATTCACAAGATGGTGACAAAGATCACACAACCAGCCTTTAGAGGAGAAAAGATTGGCATATTTTTAATCTACAGCTAATCATATTATTATAAATCTGGTAAGTGATGTTCTAAGTCGATCTCTCTCTTTGTATGTTGTAGTGCTGTATTTATACCATAGTAATTGTAGTGTATTAAGTGTGAGATGGGACTCGCATATCAAGAATGTATGTGTTTTGTGTTGGCCACTCTTTGTATTACTCTGAGTTACGTTTTAGTTGGCCATCTGTTTGTTTTTAATGAGTCTTGTTTTTTTTTTACTGCAGACTAGTTCAGTAAACAGAAAGAAAGAAGAAATGCCCGCATATGTTTAGCGTTTTCCTTATCACAAACAAAACGGTAATCTGGTTGTGTTTGCACTGCTTTGGCCTTTTTATTTTGTGGCAAATTATTGTGATCTTCTGATTGCAACAGAAAAAAAAAATACTGGGAAATGATTGCATTTCATGCTGTTCGGCCTTATAATTGTAAGCAAAATCACCTGTTTCATCATCACTTTAAATAATATGCTAGAGAATCATTCAAATACTAGCTCTAAAGTGACGTTGGTGATTTAGTCACAGCTTCTGCTGTTCTGACATCAGTCGTAGTGAATGAATGGCGGAAGAAAGTTGTTCCTCACACAAAAGGATTTTTAGGCTCTCCGTGTTAGATTTTCTTTTTAATGTACTCTATTTTTCCATCAAACTGTTGTATAAATGCAATATAACACTCGTAGCAGTGTGATATTGCTGTATACCATCACTGGTGGGACACTAATGCACTTAATTGTTTAATAACTTTTGATCCGCTGATCCGATCCATACAATTCAAAGATTGGCATAAAGAAGAGAATCTCAGCTTTCCAGTGTTGTCATAACATTCGCGGACTTTCAGAGGCTCCGGAATCAGTGCGGTTACGTCATCAAAATTTGACAACGCTGATTTGACAAAGAAACGCTCGTCACGGTGTCTCCTGACAAACCAGACATGATACATTGATGCATTATCCCTCCTCCATGCCCAGATTGGTTCAAACTCGCTATATCACAACCAATAAGCATAGGTTTCGCTTTTGTTTGTGGACCAACATGAGCTTTTTGAACAACACGGAATGAGAGATAGGCATACATTTATGCGCGGCAAAAAAAAAAAAAAGTTTTGCATGAAATAATTCTCATACTAAGTACTTTTGCATGCACAGCAGCACAGAAACATGACAAAACAGTGACACAGCAAAGACGAACTGCTGCTCTTGCTGTTTTCAAAAGACACAAATGAAGGTGCAGCTGTTTGTCTGCATTGCAGACAACCATATCCAAATCCATATCCACAGACAACCATATCCATGCTGCCACATAAAACCTAAGGATGTTCCATATTGAATCTAGTTTCGTTATGTAACTATTTATAGTATAGTAAATATTTATATCTATTTTTTACTGAGGATTTGCACCATGTTTATTTGGACTTTATTTGGACTTTGACACATTATTTATTATTTTCTTATTTTTTATTTGTTCATTGTAAGTGGTGTTGTTTATAGTAACTGAAAATATATTATTTGGAAAAAGTCAAATTTGCTTCACTGTTCTATTATTTTGTAACATACCGTATACCGCGAAACCGTCAAACCGTGGTATTGTTTTAGACGATTATCATACCGTAAAAAATTCATACCGTTACAACCCTAGTGCCGATATACAGCCATATGGCACTGCAACGAGTGTGATATTACTCATGTACATCAAACCCAAACGATTTTTACATAAACTCACTTGTGACATTGGCCTGGATGTATGATCTTTACCATTTTCAGAAATTTCTCTGTGTTTCCCTGCTTTTAGAGACTACAAAAAACTTGTTTTGAGAAAACAGCCTTTAAAATATGTAATTGAAATCTGCAGGAACAAATTGATAAAGTATGATAAACCTAAAACTTAAAAGTGCATCCAGGAGACTCGCTGTTCATGAAACTGAAAAAAGCCCTTCATGAACAGCCTAAAATCATTTAGAAAACTGTCACCTTAAAGCTGCAGTTGCTCAGTGCGTGTTATCCAGGTCTTGGTTCTGGAGACAGGTGTGGGAGGTGAATGTGTGGAAATTTCTTACTCAAAGGAGGAGCAATCTGAATCCAGTTCGTCCCGATTTTGTTACCATGGTAACATTAGGAGGCAGGGGCTATGCATATTATATAAGGTGCAGATACTGACCATTTGCTCTGTTTGAAATAGAGGCCTTGAAAGGGCACAGTGATCTAAATCCAGATAGTATGTACACAAAGCCAGAATTGCCTTCTGTGCAGTTCAAATGTCTCATGAGAGCAGAATGTGTAGTTATGCCCTGGCTGTCAGTGTGGTGGAAATATGAGGGAAAACACCTCCTTGTGTGCAAAGCTTCTGTCTATGATTGATTATGGTGAGTTACATGAAATATCGCCATAACAGATGACCTTTCCGGGTTGCTGTGCTGTTAAGTGACCTGTAAAAAGTGACATTTTTCCATTGGGTTGCTTACAGATTTTTACCT